AAGTAATGGCCGCACAACTCTGTACTAAAGACCACTGACTTACACACTATTTCAAACAGGTGATTTGTATGGTATGTGAACCATCTCAATAAAGCAGAAATATACACACGCACAAATAGCAGAATCTTTGCAGAAGTGCAGTGGGGGAGAAGGAAGACTACAGGGGCAAGGAATGAATAGGCTACGAAACAGGTTATTCTTGTTTATTCAGCATAAAGTAGAAGGAAGATGTCTGAATCAAGAAGGAAAAGAGCCACTAGAGGCTGAATAAGCCACTGAGGGGTTCACTCGCTAAGGGATCGTGGAAAGCATAGTTAAAAAAAAGTTAACCTTAGGAAAAGGAAAAGCCTTGAAAATACCTTTCTCTTATCTGTTTGCCTTTCGAATATGTGAAGAGAATTTTTCCATTCCCTTCTCTTCTCCAGGGTAAGCAAACATCTCCATTTTCTCAACATGATTTTTAGTGTTTCAAGTTAACCCCTAAACGTTAGCAACCAAAATGGAAAACAGCACTTTTTATATGATCTTCATAGCAAATGGGGGAAGGGAGTTACTAATATTCAGCACCATGTCCATTGTGTGCCCATTGAGACACAGCATGCCTGCAAGCTCTATTTTCTTATTCTCATAATTTATCGCGGAGAAAACAGAACTGAAGAGACAAGAAACAACTTGCCTAATTCACAAAGGTCTTAAATGGCAGAGCCACAATTTGTCAGACGAAGATACTGCTTTCCTTCAATCTGGGGAAAATTCTGTATGTCCCTTTTTACATATGGAACACTACATCCTAGAATCCTTTTTTTCAAGTCAAGTCTTCCTTATCTCAAATTCACGAAATTGAGTTTCTGTAAATTCAACTTGGCAAATGTACATCTTGTTAGTTTTGGTCTATTGTTTCAACTTTTAAGGATTCTTTATAGCTACAAGTTTTGAGTGCATTGATTAATTTGAGAAGCATGCCTCATATATTTCAAGTTGGTAACAAGAAAGCATAAGACCAGAGCCCTGTAGGTCATCTCTGAAGACCTCTCTTAAGGGTGACATCAAACCATTAATCAACATTTTGGGTTCAGTAATTGGAATAGATATAAATCCATCCAAAAAGGCTTTACCCAGGGCACATTTATCTCTTGTGCCTACTAGGAAAGAAAGAGAGATTACGTTCAGGATCCTAAAGAAAACTGAATGGATCCATGTCTAACAATCCCTCATTCACCACCAGGGCACAGTAAACTTCTAAGAAAAGTAATTAGATGTATGTCACCTGGCTTTTTTTAGTTAAAACTCTGCCAGTTTGAGGGAATCAGCTCTCCTCTCCTAAGTATTCACAAACTCTTTTTGCTCTCCCCAAAATAATCCCCCAAATTTTAACAAGTTCTAGCATCCAAGAGCCATCCATCTAACTGTTCTCTGCAAACACTGAGACATTTACCAGACTCCGGTCTTCTCACTAACTGTGTTTTTTTGATTCCTCAAAACCTATGAACAACAATTTTACAATTTTACCTGCGAGTACTCTGGCATGTAATTTATCTGACCCTAAAAATATGAACTGGATTTAACCCGGCTTAATATTTTTTTTTAAAGATTTTGTTTATTTATTTGACAGAAATCACAAGTAGGCAGAGAGGCAGGCAGAGAGGGAGGGGGAAGCAGGCTCCCCGCTGAGCAGAGAGCCTGACGTGGGGCTCGATCCCAGAACCCTGAGACCATGACCTGAGCCGAAGGCAGAGGCTTTAACCCACTCAGCCACCCAGGCACCCCCCCACCCGGCTTAATATTCTTTGTAATCTCCTATATTACCTTGAACTTAATTCCTTTTGGTTGGTTGTCCTTACCCAGTTTTTAGAGAAAGCAAACAAAATGTTTTTCTTCCTCAGCGAACTCCATGCTTTTGCACATAATCTCCTGAAGTAAAGTAGTTCATTTAGTAGGCCAGAACCATGGCCAGTTTTTTCTTCAGGACATTCAATTTCAGAAGTGGCATTTAAGGACCTTATTAGCAACTAGAATGTTTCTTTATTGCTTGTTGGCGCAAACTACATTTTCAAAATGAAAAAAATGTTAAGTATATTTTATGCAAGAATCAACTAAAAAAAAATCAACTAATATGTTTGAATAAGGCATCGCAATATAATCAAAATGAGACAACAACCTCCCCCACTTAAAATGAGATATCAGTAGTTCTCACTCTGAAGAAAATAAAATAATCCAGGATAACTCTTACATTTATAATCAAGATTATTTAGCAGGCAAGATCCCAAGGACACTAACGATCTTGACAAAATGTCTACCAATACCAGCACTACTACCGTCATCCCGCAATCCAGAAAGCTTACTGCACCTCACGCGGTGTTCTAGGCGCTCCTGGAGCTTTCATTCTAGCAACATCACGCCCACAAACCTTTAGTGAGCGCCTACAACTGAAAGGCACTAGGCTAGATATCTCTCAAGAGCGATTGAGAGCAAGACGCACGAGCATTATCAAGTTTACCTTAAAAACACAGAAGACCACCACTCTCAAGCAACTGCTCTTAGAAACCGTGCCCGAAGTCGGATGATGTAGCGAAGGCTCGGTGTACCTGGCAGTCCAAATTTAGGGAGCTTTACCGACCACGCTTTTGTGCTGGTGGTATTCTAAGAGCTTCTAGACAAGCTCTGGATTTAGGCCTCAACTTGCTCAAGGGCAGTTCCTTTAGTAACAAACCAAACCCAGGAAAGGATCGGTTAAGGACCACGTCTCGGCAAGAACGAATCTAATCGCGGAAGTGCCTTTTCCTCATTCCCAGTCCCACCCTGCTACAGGGTTCTTCGGTTCCCAAAGTCGGAGCACCCCAGATGCGGAATAATTCCCGAAGTCCCAGGCCTAACCACCACAGGGACCCGCACGCTGCGAAAGACCTGGTGGGAAGACGTGGGTGGTCTGCGCTTGTGCGGCTCCGAGTGTGCCTGCGCGTGCGGAAAGACCCCCGCCCCTCCTCCCCACCTGCTAGAAAGTCCCCGAACCCTAACCGCCCCTCAGTCCGAGGGTCGCTCTCTGTTTTTAGGGTCCGCGCCGGCCTCCCTGCCTCGCGCCCGTGCCTCAGATCCTCTCCCGAAGCCCGTCCCGCAGCCCCGCCGTCGCCCGCTAACTTCGATTTGCACGGGGGATAGCGGAGCGAGGCGGAATCCGAGAAAAGCGACTCTGCCAGTGGATGGAGGAAAGAGGTCATACCCTACTCCGACCTCCAAGTAAGCGGAGGTGAGCGGCGCCGCCCGCGGTCCGTGGGTCACTCACCCCTCTCCTCAGGCAAGCCCCTTAGCGACGTCTCTCCTCGCCGACTGTGGCCATCTTGGACTAGGAATGTCGGGGAAGCACGTCATCGCGCTGCGTCCCCGTCGAAAAACAGGCGACCGGGCGCAGCCCCGCCCCGCCCCCCCAACGGTTCTGCTAGGCTTCCTCCCCAGCCATTGGGCCTGCGGGCCAGAGCGGTCTCGGCCCCACGCCAGCTTCGGGGCCACAATTGGCTGGGCTGCGCCCATTCCAGACGCTGATTGGGGAACGGGCGGCTCAGGCCCCGCCTCCCGTGTCTAAGTTCCGTTAGCATGTTCGGTTGCTCCCGAATTCCCTCTCGCCCCGGGGGGCGGGACCGACAGGATGGACCCCTTGACTGGCTCCTCCTCCGGCCCGCGGCGACCGCAGACCCGCGGGGCGGGGCCGGGGAGAGACTGGCGACACTTTCCTGTTTGAGAGCTCTATTTTCTCCTGGTTGGCTGACGGGCGCCCCCATGCGTCGGCGCCGCGGGCCAATAGGCGGCGACGGCGGCGGCCTGGGGGCGGGGCCCGGGGGCGGGCGGAGCCGGGTTGGGCCTCGGCGGCGGGGCCGTCTCAGGCCGCGGTCCCGCCCCTCCCGTCCGGCTGCCGCCGCCGCCGCCGCCGCCGCCGCCGCCGCCGCCGCCGCCTGGGGCTTGGTTGAGGCGGACGGTGGGTCCGGGCCCGAGTGTGGCGCCGCCGCCGCTGCGCGAAGGGGGCAACCGGGCAGGTGAGTGCCGGCGGCGGCCTCTCGGCGCGCGCGGCCCGCGGGCGGACTCGCGCTATGAGGCCGCCCCTCGCCCCGGCCCGCGCCCCTCGGCCAGGGTCTTGCGCGCGCCCCGCCGGCCGCCCCGGCCCGAGGTGCGAGATGCGGGGGGCGGTGTGCGCCCCGGGGGCCGGGCGGGAGGGCTGGGTGTGGGGGCCCGGCGGATCGGGGGCGCCGCTCGGCCTCTGGTCCCCGGCTCTGCCGGTGCGGGCGGCGCGCTGGCCCCGGCCCCGCGGCCCCTTGGGGCGCCCAGCCCGGCGGCGGCGGCAGGTGCAGGGAGCGGCGGCCTCTGGACGCCCGCCGGGTGGGGCCCGGGCCGCTCTGGCTGGCGCTGGGCGGCGGGGCGGCCGGGCTCTGCGTGCGGCCGGCCCGCCTCGCGCTCCCTTCCTTCCTCCCTTCCTTCCCTCCCCGCGGTCGCCCGCGTGAAGGCTGTGGCTTCTGTGCTCAGCTCCCCAGACCTTAGGTGCGCGCCAGGGAGCCGGGGACCAGTCCCTGCTTCTCTCCCTCACTTTCCAGTTATAAAAACAGGCGTTGAAAATAGGTCATCTTTCTTCCCACGCGCCCTGGCCGTGGTCCACACGCTCGGCGCCCTACTAGGGAGAAGAATTCGGGGCTTTGGAGTTTGTCATTCTGGCGGTAAACTCTTCCTCCTCGCGGCTCCGGCGCTGCAACTCTGCCTTTGCCCCGCTTGTCCTCGGGGGACGCGTTCCGCAGGGCAGCGGGGCCACTCTCTGCGCGGCCTCGCCCTCGCCGCGCGTCGACACGTGTGGGATCGCTTGCAGGGTATTGCTTTGCTTTTCCAAAGGAAGGAGGTGGTGTTTCAAAAGCAAACGTACGTGCGAAGTGTGTTGACAGATGACTTGTGCTTTGTAAAACCCTTCGAAGAGTTAAACGTTGAGCGATGAACCTGCTCGTCGCTTGATTACGGTGCATGATTACACAGCTGTGTGCGTTTGTCACAACGTGTAGACGTGGACACCGAAAAGTGAGTTTTACCTTTTCCTCTCCTATTTTTCTTCTCAGTGGCCCCACTGGTATTTCAAAATTGGAATAACCAGTAATAATCTTGGAGAGGTTTTTCTTATTATTTTAGGTGCATTCATTTAACTCAAGAATATAGCGAAATAGAAACAGATTTCCCCTGTTAGATTTGCAGGACTTTTGCTTGAACCATGATGTGTTGTTATGTCTATATGGGCTACTGTGTATGCAGGCCCGCCTTACCAAATTAGTCCCAGGGACTGCTGTGATTGATATTCTGGTCAAGTTCCAACAATTTAAGGAGGAGGTTTTTCGCTGGCGGGAGAAAGTAGTTTGCAAAGCCAAGTTCTCAAACAGCTACAGAACCTCTTCATTGGAATTCCAAACAACCTCAGTTTTTAGCCTTCTGCTACCCCTTCCTCTCTGCCCTCCTTTCTCTCCGTGGAATTGGAAGTTAATGTCTGAAATGCAGCTCTAGCCCAAGAGGCTGAAAGGGTCGCTCCTTCTCATCTCTTCAGTTTGCTGACATCTCTTGGTGCTTTTGTTCCTGGTAGGGGAATGATGTTGGCTTTGAAAACTGAAACATTTATGCTATGGAAATGAAAGTGTGTTCAGTTCTGTCAATGAGTGCAGTAAGATCATCAATAAGAAAGTAACACTTACTGAACTTCTTTTCCATGTGGTGAACATTAGGCCATGTTTTAAGTAGTGAAATCTTTGCTTTAGAAGCTCCTGGAAAGTGAGGGAAATGTGAAGGTTGTACTCAGACATCTTCCCATTCTAAAGTTCAACTACTGGAAAACTTTTGGTTATGAGCACTCGCAACAGCCTCCTAAAATCTTGATGCTTGCCTATCTAGAAGAGCGTGACAGATGACAGCTAGAGGAAAGCGTCAGCATCAGCACAACAGAGGCCTGCTGGTACTGGAAATATTTAGCAGACAATGACTGAATTCAGTAAAACCAGGTATGCAGTTTGTACCATGTGGAATTTTAGCAGAAATAGTAAAAATCTTACTAGCAGAGGGTTATTCTGGATTCTTTTTACTAGATGTCCATTTACTTTGAGGTTTTCCAGCTTCTTAAAATGTTTGAATTACATGGTCTCCTTTTTTTCTTATCTTTAATCTGAAGTAGCTTTTAGAAATGTAACTAATCATAGTGTATCTTTTTTTGTGTGTGTAGTTTGAGGACTATCTTCGACTGGGAGGTTTTTTCTTTAGAAACTGGTTTCCTTGTCTCTGGCCGCTGTGCGTGGTGCTTCCGTAGGGACGAAGAGTTTCAAGTGTGTCTCCTCTCCTTGTACCTAAGTCCTGGGAACGGAGCCATGATTTTGTTCCTCTATTAGAGGAGCAGAAGTCATTTATTACTATGGCATTAAACATTTTTAACTAGACAGTGAATATATCTTTGTTCTTACGTCACCCTGGAAGTTGCTTGTGGCCAGTTATTTTTGCAGTTAGCTAACACTGTATTTGGGCCAGTTATTTTACCATTGAAGAGTGTTTTGATTTGCTCTGCAACCTTTTTCTCTTGCTACAGTCGTGGATGAGTTTATCTTGGACATCAGTTCATTCTGAGTTCTGTTTAACCAGTTAAGAGTAATGAACTAAGGGTTCCTTGCTTTCACATGTTTCTAGGCTTCATTTTTGTTGTGGTCATAGGTGTACCTTACTTGGCAAAAGTGTCTTCTGTACATTGGCTTGCCTGACATCTTGTATTCCTATCCCTAAAACTGGGGATGTTAAATGTTTTGATCTGGAAATAGAATTAATTTGCATCGTGTTTATTAAAGTAAAAATGATTTTTTCACAAAATATTAATACATATATAATCTTTCTACTATAATGGAATTGAGCTTTTTTTTTTTTTTTTAAGTCACTTACTAGTATTATGTAAAGAAAGCTTCGTTAGCGGAACTGGCAAGATTAGAAGTCCTACTTTTGTTGTTAAATTTATCCAGTAACTCAAGCCAGAGATTAGCTGTCTCGACTCTATTTCCATTTGGGGTTTCCTCTAGGTTTAGAAATAAACGGCTTTAAAACAAGCGGTATAAGCATAAGTATTGACAATTTGCTACTAAAATATATTTGAATGGAAGAAAAATAATTCCAAATGATTATAAATTCAAATACCGAAGTTAAGACCTTGAAATTCTTTCTTATTTTAGTACTTTCTAAGTAGAAGTTAATTAATAATCAGGATAAGCCCAAGTGGAAGACAAGTCCAACCCTGAAGTTAAGATTTTGAAAGGCATCTGAGTGATAACTGATTACCAAGCCAAGTAAGTCCCTAACCTGTTACTTGTCTAGCTTCAGTGATGGGGATGTGGAGGGTGGGCAGGGAAAAGGGACAGAGTGGAACAAGTGTTCTCATTCTTTTTCAGAAGGGACTAAGGACTTGTCCAGAGAATGTAATCAGGTGTCCACACAGAACTCTTAATAAATACACAGTGTTTTAGGCTTATTACCTATCTACAATCCTGACTTTCACTTTTCACTTTTTTTTTTTTTTTAAGATTTTTACTTATTTGTTTGACAGAGAGAGACACACTGAGAGAGGGAACACAAGCAAGAGGAGGGGGAGGGGAAGAGGGAGAGGCAGAAGCAGACTTCCCTCCAAGCAGGGAGCCTTATGTGGGGCTCGATCCCAGGACCCTGGGATCATGACCTTAGCCAAAGGCAGAGACTTTAACCCACTGAGCCACTCAGGCGCCCCCACTTTTCACCTTTTTAAGGATATATTTTGTTAGACCATAGCAAGGTCTAAAAAACTGTATGACAAAGTGGTTTAAAGGTTTCAGTCTCAGAAAATAGGCTTGACTCTTCAATATCAATACTTTTCCAGTGAGTACAGTTAAAAGAAAGTAAGGATTAGTGTTGAAAAATAATCATTAAAGTTTCTTCTGCCATACTTACTAATGATTAACAAAGTTTTCCATTTGTGGATTGTAATGACTTAGCATTGCTACATGTCATAGTCTCCTAAGTGGTTACTGCAGTTTCTTTCTTTTTTTTTTTTTAAAATACTTTATTTATTTATTTGACAGAGATCACAAGTAGGCAGAGAGAGAGGAGGAAGCAGGTTCCCCGCTGAGCAGAGAGCCCGATGTGGGGCTCGATCCCAGGACCATGGGATTATGACCTGAGCCGAAGGCAGAAGCTTTAACCCACTGAGCCACCCAGGCGCCCCTACTTCATTTTCTTGATCCACGACAAGAGTGGAGCATTGCAAATCTCAACGTGGGCTATGTGGGCTTGGGCAGAAGTTTATTTGGAAGTTTTGCTCATAGTTTCACATTTAAGCTGAGGCCACTCCTGTTTATTTGGACAAGGCCAGCAAGATGGCTCTATACTTTTCAAAGGCCAAGGAGATAAAACCTTTGTGTACCACGTTTTACTGCTGTAAAGGGAATACTGTTACGTTGAACTTCAGAGCCCTCACAAGTGGGTTAATTTTGAGCTGAATCCATGAAACACTATTGAGTATCAGTAAAGTTGGCCATCAAGGTGTGTTGGTGAGGCTCTGCCACCAACTGAGTCTTCATTTTGCATGGAATTTATTAACTTCTCTAAACTTCAGCTTGCTCCTCTGTAAAGTGGGTATGACATCTATCTGTTGTGTAGAATGCTTACCTTGGGTCCTGTTGTAGTAAGTGCCTGACTGATGCAGTTATGGTGAAGAAGATCAAGTTGGGTCCTGCCGTAGGACTCTGTGTGGCAGGGACGATGGCTTCAGTAGGCTGGAAACAATGTAATAGCATGAAAAATTGCATCTGGGTTCAGACACTGGTTTGACATAGCACGTCTGTCTTGCTGAAGATAGCTTAAGTGACAAAGGTCTTAGTTGATTACCATCTTACCCTAAAGGCTGTGGGACTGTGCGTGTGTCACTCATCTGTGCATTTCAGATCAGATGCTTGAGAAGTGTGCACTGAAATAATGCACTCCTTTGTTTACCTGACTCGTGGGAAAGCTAGGGCAGTCTCCAAGTATTATCCCCTTGATAATATCCCTTGATTATCCCTTACCCCTCCGAGTAAGATCCCCTCGATTTGGGCTCCGGGAGGCGATTCCCGTGGAGCTGTGTCCCTCTCAAGAGTTCATCCGAAGGGTTTTGTTGCCTTGGGAAAAAGCTGTTCACCACAGTGGTTTTGTCCACTTTTGAGAAAGGATACGCTAGGCCTGGAGAAGAGAAGACTTTGTTGGGGGGACGGAGAGCTGTCTTCCAAAATTTGAAGTTGTTTCTTTTGAAAGGCGGAATCGGGAGGTGTCAGGATGATGAACCTTCCTACCGTGGGCCGGAGCAGCTCACGATGTGGAGGTGGACCAGCGGCACCACGTGTGGGGGAGCAGCGGGCACTGCCAGAACCGCTCAGGAGCAGCAGGCCTCGGGGTGCGCTTCTTGCCCATGACATTGCTCCACCCTGCCTCTCCCAGGGGCCTTCAGACTGGAGTTTGCTAGCGGAGAGCAAGGTGCTCTGACACCTGTCATCGCTTCCTGCCTTAGGTGTTGTTATTTTAAACATGTGCGAGCTGCAGGGTTAACACAGCTTACCCCAAAAGTCTCTTCCGAACCGGGTGTTCCACAGTCCTAGAATCTCGAATCCTTCTGGGAGGAATGTGGGTGGTTTGAAGGTAATTTCTTGACAGATTACAGCTGTTTCCTCCCTTAACATTTTTCTTTTTTCTTTTTCAAAGAGATAATAGGAAATGATTATTCATGATAACAAATGATTCTTTGCCTTATGAGAGGTTTTCTTTTTTCAACTTCCTTTAAACAGGAGCCTCATTTTAAGTGTATTTACAATTTAATTGAACAGCAGTTTAAACTGAAACTATTATGTATTGAAAAGTCAATCAGAAATGGCTTAAGCGCTTCTAAAATTACCATGTAAATTCGTGGAAAATTAGCAAAAAAACCCTATAGAAAGCAAGAAACATCTGTATTTTGTTAAATCTCAAATTCGTGTATATCTATCTATCCTTATTCGTCTATCTACCTACTTATATGACAGCCCAATTTGTTCTGTATAGAGATGTAAATGTTACTTACAGGCAACTTACAGCTTTATTCATTCCCCTACTTAAGTAGCTACTGACTTGAAATTAATTCCACCTTCTTGCCTGCCTGCTTGCCCTAACTTCTTGGTACTTTTGAGTTGTGGCACATTAGCACCTCCTTTGATAGGGACTGGGATGAAGGATGCTAGGTATCTACTTAAAGTGGTAAAGTTACTATGGCTTGAGCCCACTATTAGGCTCTGCTACCATGTAGAGAGTACATGTTTCCCCTACATGCTAGTTCCAGTTAACATGGCCGCAGGCGGCACAGGTCTGTGGATGCCTTGTCAGTTTCTATAGGACAGAAAACACTGCATAAATACTTTCAGTTTAAGAGTGCTTTCGTTTTCCTAAACCATCATCCTGTAATTGGTATATTTAATTCAGAATGTAGTGATCTTATCCTAATGGCCTGCCAGATATTTTAGTGAGATTCTTTTCTTCCTGCACAAAAATTAGGCAGGCTCTCATACTCCCTTCAAGTACTTTTACAGCTCGGTGCCTGAGGTAGGAGGAGGAAGCCACAGGACAATTCTCTGCTTTAGTTAATCCAACTGTAAAGGAGGGTAGTTTCAGGATACATTGAAAAACAGATGCTGGGTTAGAGCTAAAATTTTTTGGTTAAATTGCCAAATAAGTGTAATCAAAAATGTTTATTCTATTTGCATTTAGTTGAAAGCAACTTAAGAAAAATATTAATTTTTATACTTCTCATTTAGAATAAAAAAAAAAAACCCTACCCAGCTGAATCGTATCTCCCTGTGTTCAGTGTGTGAGCCAGACTTTGTAACGATGGGTCAAGTAGCTCCCTCTCTCCCTGCCCCCCACCCGTTAGCCCAGTTTCCTGAATGTGCTTTATCTTACTCCTCTGACTTTTCATTCCACCGCACAGATTATACAAAGA